CTATTTGATTTCGTTGTCTGAAATCTGTGATTTGAATTTGGGGCTGTTCCTTTTTCTAACAACCATAATCAAATCAATGCGAACGATTCATTCCTTAGCTGCATATGTGATTCGCCAGGGCTACATACAGATTATAATTCAGCGTTTTATTTCCCCTAGACCGGTTGCCATCCCTGGCTATAGAACCCAGTCTGTTAAGATGTCGACCGTAGTCGGGATCATCGAGTCAATACAAACGATCTTTTCCTTTACTGCATAGTATGTGGTTCGCCAGGACGACATACAGCTTTTAACTCAGCGTTTTCCATCTCCTATACCGGTGGTCACCCAAGGCTATAAAACCCTGTTTGTATTACTATTTACCCATACTTAGGAGGAACTGGATTAATATTTTTCCCAAGTGTTATGGCACGTAAGGGAATGTAATGAACTCCCATGGAATTCACTACGTTCAGTTACGTGCTATAAAACTTGGGAAATGTTTGAATCCAACAAATGAAACATGTAGAGTAAATAATGGTCAAGATGTTGACATTCCACACTACAAGCAAAAGACGAGGAAGAAATCCGCCATCGTTACTGGAAAGAGAAATAACACTAACTGGAATTGAGAAAGATATTTTCCTAAAAAATGTTTTAATAGAAATATTTTATAAATTCCATCCGAGCATAGCATTAACTGCAGGCTCAATGAATGCTCACTGTTTCCTTATAAGGAAACATTTGATAATGATATTTCTACTACTATTGTTGCGTACCAGTAACAAGATCTTTTATAAAGCTATCTAGCTAACAAGGGTCAAAGTGCAGAGGTATGAGTTCATGCCTGTCACAGTGGTAATAATAGTAAGTTAATCTGGACAGTTTCAGCTAAAAGATGTTATAGTAAACCAAGATTTGTGTACACCAGAGAGAGAGAGAGAGAGAGAGAGAGAGACAGAGAGACAGACAGACAGACAGACAGACAGACAGATGGGGAAGAGATGAATAGACGGAGAGCATGACATACAGAGTGGCAAATAAAAGAGCAACAGCAGAGAATGACCAAAAAAAGTCTATTTCAGGTGGAAAAAAAGAAAGAGAAAAGAAACTCGATCCTTTCTCTCAGCAAGTAATGTAAGATGGGAAAATCAAGTGGGCCGTTTGCTAATAAAGAAAATAAAAAAAAAAAAAAATATCCCTGTTTTCATCATCTCCCTCCCCTTTTAACATGTCGCCTGAATGTTCATACTGAGATATCCGTCAGTAGCACAGGCAGTATCCACGTGAGAGGCTTAGTGGTGGCAACGTTAGTGTGACGTCATTGGCGCGATGCACCAATCAAGATTGGCATGGATTTTAACGGCTGTGTTAAAAGCACGGTGTAAGATAACTTATAAAAATTAAAGACAAAAAACAAAACAAAACAAAAAAAAAACAAAAACACTATAGCATTTCGACTGCTGACTATTTCCAAACGCTGTTAATTTCTGTTGGTATGTGTCAAGGATTTTTTTTTTTTAAATTTACTATAAGTCGTCTTTCTTGATTTTGCATGTTATTTTTTTTTTATCATTCACCGTTTGTCAATGTTTCATTGAATTTTTTTTTTCAGGTTAAAATACCAAACATCTTATTCCCAGTGGTCATTGCGGTAAATCACATGACAGCAAGACTCGTAAATGTGGCTTCACCCAGGATAATAATATAAAACTTGTGTTCCGTTTTCAGCGACACTAGTTCTATAGTTGTACCGATAGCGTGTCGTAAATTAAGACTTATCTTGGATTCTTTCGAAAGAGAGTCGCCGGGAAATGTTTTCTGTGTCATCTTTGTCTTCGATTTTCAGTAAGTTCAGCGCGCAGATACACCCAAGAAACATATTAAAAATATTTATATAGATCCAAAATTGTCAGTGATTAGAAATACGCAACAAATTCGATTATAGTTGAAACGCCTTTAGTATTATTAACATCTTCTTTAAGAACATCGAAACTGGACACATATCGAGGTGACTTCTCACATGATCAGTAAAATAATTTGGGCACTGAATACTTTATATATAATACTAAACAAAAGGTTCATAAAATATTCCAAAACAGAAAAAACGGCCTTTCATGACAAAGACAATGAAGCAAAAAATATATATTATCTTGCCAAATAACTTTATCACATCAGCAGTTGGAAAGAATATATCTCAACTCAACATATAATACGTTACGACTACATCTAAATCAATAAAATATTTACTTACTGCTAATCAAAACAATAAGCCCAAAAAATGAAGGAAGAATTTACTTGATCGCCTGTAATAATTGTCACAAAAAATATATAGAAGAAAACTGAAGGAATCTAAATAAAATATTATATGAACAAAAAAGGAAGATTTTACAAAATAATACGTCAAATGTGTGGCTTCTTTACTGTAACGAGATTGGCCACAATTTTGACATAACAATTGCTACTCTGATCAAAGGAGAAAACAATTCCCAACGAAAATATCTATAGAGTACCTTGAGGTTTTCTACAGTAAATTTGCGCCATAGCTCATACAAGATTTTACTATTCCTGGTAGAACTTCTATTATCATACTGTGGAATATGTACTAGCAAAAGACATGGAAAGACAAAGAATCTAAATGAAATCGGCAAGATAAAAAATGAAATTCCCAGCATCTTTCGTTCGAGCGCATGTCTCGTCGCACGAACATAACAAATTTAATCCGATGAGGTCCTAAAGGGCGAAACGTGACACAAGAAATTTTTTTCCCACTCTGTCATACATTTTCCCCCAGTATTGTTCTTGATATATAAAAATATATATCGTTATCTCATATACTGTCAGGCGGCATTTAAGCTAGCTCCTGTCGACTGATCTAGATTGGGCATTCGTCAAAATAGTTAGGGATATAGTTAATAGTAATAAGCAACGATAAACTACAGAAGAATTCAAAATTGATCGCTGCATTTAAGTATGGCATTAATATTCAAGTTTAACTTTTAAAAGTTCAACGATAATTGTTGTGCCGCCACTTAATTTAAAGACAGTTTGATGTACGTAGGTCCTTACTTTCCGTGCAAGCAATTATTTTTATTTTATGGCTGCCTTTCGTTAGATTTCGCAATTAATTCCGATTATTCCCAAATTTATTTCCAAGTTATAAGAATTGTTATCGTACAAAATTTTGTTGCAAAAATCCCGAAAACATGGAAATCAAGCAGTGAACCATCTTTCTCTTGCTCGTACAGGATCTTCAAACCATGGGTCTTGTGTTTTGACTCGACTATTTATATATGCTGCTACATTACTGGTAGTAAAGCCTATTTTATTACACTAAAGACTATTAGGTAGGCGTTAATGGATGTTTCATCATTTTTATAGGCTATTTATAGGAATAATTGTAGATCCGAATCTGGGTTTTTTGTACCTATTGCATAGTGTTGTTAACCTCTTACATGTTATAAACTTTTAATAGTCGGGCCAAAACACATGGCCTGAAGATTGCGCTCGAGCATGAAAAATACTGTACCTGCTTGGTATTGACCTGTGTCCATTTTGAAATTTATATTTCCATACTCTACTGAACTATTTTACTCATAAACATAGTATAACTTAAGAGTATATTTTAAGCGCACGTATATACATATATATGAAGGTGTCCCCAAGGGCTCTATTCTTGGACCTACTTTGTCCTTAATTTTCATCAATGACCTTCCTGATGACATCAGTTCTCAACTTAATATCTGATGACACAACCATTTATTCCTGTCCCATTAAGATGTCTGATCAGTTAGATAAGGTCAAATTGGCAGCTGATCTCAAGAATGATCTACGGTATTTTGTTAACTGGGGCACGGAATGGCTTTTTTTAATTTTAACGCCTCCTAAACGAATCTGCTCTCTACCAATCCCCACCGAAAGACCTTTTCCTGCCTCCTATTAGCAAGACTGATATTAACCTCCAAGAGAGTGATCGTTACGCCTTTTTGGCCTTACATTCTCGGCTCACATGAAGTGGAAAGATTAGATTGACTCTAATGCTAGGAATGCTGCTAAGAAAGTTGGTTCACTGTGTGGCGCCAGACAATTTTTATCTCCAGAATCTATCTTACATATATACATAAGACTATTGCTCGTCAAATCCCTGAATATTGCTGCCACATCTGGTCTGGTGCGTCTTCTGTACATCCAGAGATTCTTGATAAAATCCAAAGAAAAATCAGCAATATTTTCAGTCCTGACCTGGCGTCTCGGCTTCAGTCACTTTTGAATCGCCGTAAAGTTACCTCTCTGTGCCTTTTCTATAAATATGGTCATGGTGATTGTTCGGATTAACTCTTCGCTATGATCCCTAGACTTTATGAATTTAAGCGTAGTACCAGATTGGCAGTTAGGTCTCATCAATTCATATTAAAATTGGCTAAATGCAGCCGTAAGTTATATGCTAACAGCTTCTTTTCTCGCACATCTCGCTTGTGGAACTCTCCTACGGCTCCATGCTTTCCAGATAATTTTGAACTCCAAAAGTTTAAATGCAATGTCAATCGCTATCTACCCTTGATTACTCTTCTATTGTTCTCGCTCCTTAGTAATACTTCTCTTTCTCACCCTTGTGTCTTAGTGACGCTTCTGTCTTGCATGGGGTGAGATGATTAAAAAAATACTTTTATATTCTTTTTCTTACGAGTGCCCTATTTTAAATTATTTAAAAGAGGTTTTTAATGCACAAAAATATTTTTTCTTTATTTATCCATTTATAGCATTGTTTTCAAAATGGCTACAGAAGAAGAAAAAAAGTTCAGAACCGAAGATATAATATTTCTTTCCTTCCATTAGAAAATGGCGGCGAGACCCCCCCCCAAAAAAAAAAACCAACCTCTCATATATTAGAAAAATGTTTTTTGTTCGTGCTGAAGAGTCACATACACATAACAAAAAGTATGGATGCGCACGCATACACATCACACAAATACAAACATTCTATAAATCACAGTAAAACTATAAAAACCTCTCTCTGTGCTATGCTTCTTCAGGTTTGAGACGTTCATGATTCCCCACAGCTTCCCATTTAGATGATAGGCAGAAAAGGTTCTCTTTCGTGGTTCACTGAGATCCGTAGAGCAGTTTTGTTTTGGAGGCGTTAAAAGTTACAAGCCATTTCTTGCCCCAGTTAACCACTGATTGGAGGTCTTTTTCAAGAGTAGTTTTCAGGCTTACTTTGTCGGATCTGTTGGATTTGCTACTACGGCAGGTGTAAATGATAGTGCGTCATCTACATAAATACTAAGCTCGGGATCTGCTAAAAATCACAAATTCCTTCTGGGAACTGAAAACATATTCGTAAATACATCAGACTAGCTACTTTTACTGGTACTCTAACTGCGTGAATTTAGTCTATGAAATGCGTACATAAATCATTATGGGACATAAATGGGAACCCCACTCCTTCTACTTGCTTCCCTGATAGCTATAATCTTCAAATATTCAAATGTAATGTCAATCGACATCTTTTGATGGAATGATCGCGATCCCCCTCCTTCTCTGTATCCTTTCCCCCAAACCCCCCTCTTTACTTTTGCTCTCACTCTCTGTAACCTCTTGCGTGCTAGTGGCACTCCCGCATTGCTTGGGGTGATATGCTTAAAAAGTGCGTGTGTGTGCGCATTTGCCCACTGCGACGCCATTTGCTATGATTCTATATTTGCGATCTATAATATATACAACCCCTCCTTTATCTGTCTTCTCTTAGCTCAAATTAGTCTTTAACTCTTCCAGATACTAAAAAAATAACTGATCAGTGACCATGTAATGCCAGTCCTCCCAACGGGTTATCTGATGAGTTCGTATGTAAATAAACTACCATTTGTATTATCCAATCGGGAGTAGAATCTCCTGCAAGGTCGCTTATGGCTAATCAGTCCAACGGAGGGCAGGCAAATTAGTCCACAACAGTGGGAGGTTTGGACCGAAGCTGTTGCTGTGGTAACACGGATTTTCCTCTTTATCTTCTTCTTCATCAAGTCAGCCTTGTGTTCATTCTCGAAAATAGAGACGGCTTGACGGACAGTGAGTAACTAAGTCAATCCAGTTTGCAATGACTCCAGACCACTAAGAATTGTCAGTGTGACACGAACTAATTGATATCTCTAATATCTGTCTATATCTCTGAGATGAGGTATTATGATTATTTACATGGTTTACATTATTCGGACTGTTATCCTCATATTCATTGCCATATACACACCGTTTCGGCCGTTGTACGCTCTGGCCTTCTTCAGGTGATTGGAATTTTTCTATATCTCTGAGATGAGCTATTATGATTATTTGCATTATTTATATTATTCGGACTGTTATCCTCATCTTCATTTCCATATACACACCATTTCGGCCGTTGCACGCTCCGGCCTTATTCCGGTAACTGGAATTTTTCTTCAATATCTGTCTATATCTCAGAGATGAGGTATCATGATTACTTGCATTATTTAGATTATTCGGACAGTGATCCTCATATTCATTGCTATTTTCACAACGTATCGGCCGTTGTACGCACCGGCCTCCTTCGGGTGATTGGAATTTCGAACCGAATTTTTTATTTCGTCCACCAAGTTAGATTGTTCTAGTTCCACGTGCCATTCTTCTTCGGATATTTCAGTTATTTCCCTTTAACTCAACTCGAAAATTTGTTTCGTTCACCATTGCCTGGTATTGAACACAACTCTTTGGGTCTAGTCACTGGATCTAAGCATGTATGTCTTTATATATGATGCATTTTATTCATAGTCTTGGTGCCATTCAGGCGAAATTCCAAGGACCAGAAGACAGATAAAGAATCTTTCTATATATCTAGGCATCATATTAACCAGGAAAGAGAATGGGTTATCTGGGAAAAAACATCGGTTCTACTAATCTGAAAAGTACTCAAACACGTACATGCTAAAAGACTGATTTACTATTTTCACACACTTTATTCCAGTCATAATAATATGGTCGATAGGTCTGAGAAAATTAAATTGGCAGTTGTTAACCGGGGCAAGAAATGGCTTGTAAACTTTAGGGTGCCAAAAACGAAATTATTATCTTTTAGACATATTAGAGAACAATTATTCGCCTTCTTTGTCTCAAGTTTTCAACCGACATGATGTGAAATGATTATATTGAAACAACAGTTTGCAGCTAGGCAAGTTTATCCTATATCCTGTAATATACAACTTTTCTCGCCAAAACCCATTTTGTACGTTTATAAATCTACCATTAGTCCTTGCATTGAATATTGTTACCATTTCTAGTCTGATGTTTCTGCTATATCTCAATTACGTCTTGTGTCTCTGTGGCATTATGGCCTTGCCTGGGACGTAACTTGTAAAAACTTTTCTCATCTCAACTGTTTATTTAAAAAGATATTCTTTGATTGACACTAATCAATGTTATTATAATAGTCTCTATGCTGTATAAGCCTGGGTGTATCTCGGACATCAGATTTGAAGAACTTTTTTCGGCGAGCAAGTCAAATCTCGATTTGATTTTAGGATATTCTCCTGACCCAGACCGAGCCGCAAAGAGGAGTGTCGATACATTATTAATTCAACGAGCCAGCTCCAGGCAATAAGTCTCCATCGGGAGGGTTCATGTTCATTATCTGGACCCCGAGATGTCTTCAAAAGTGGAAGTACCGATTGGGTTTGGGCAATGTTTGCTGCCAATCACCGTACACCTCAGTTACCAACTGACTTTAAACTCTACCTTATGTCACATTCTGTTAGGGTGGGGCATGACAACAAGTACCCCTACCACAGAAAACTTTTACCGGCGAATACCTGACTAAAGATAATTTGGCTAGACGCAATAAGAAATATTCCAAGGTGTACTGACACTGAAGAAAGCGCGTGTATTGATTGATAACACCGGAAATGAGGAAACGGTTTCTGATTTACTTAAACGTGATGAAATGGTAATGAAACGATTCTATTTAGGCCAATGTCTGAGGTTATATCGATAAAATACCACATCGGCAACTGCAAAACAATCACTTCTTTTATTGCCCTCATAATTGATTGAAAATCGGCTTAAATCAATATTTCATGAATTGTCAGAATACAAAGCTCAATTATATTAACAGCATTCATTAATTCCACTGACATCAGAAATACCTACGAATTGCCTTCACTTCTTCTTCTTCTTCTCTTTCTTCTCCTCCCCCTCTTATCATTTATCTCTTTATTATTCTCCTTCTTTTCCTTTTATCTTTTTCTATTTCTTCCCCTCCTCCTCTTATCTTTCATCTCTTTCTACTTCTCTCTCTCTCTTTTTTTTCGTCGTTCTTCTTCTTCTTCTTCTTTCTTCTCTTTGTTCTCCTCCTCTTCATATCATCCATCTCTTTATCCTCCTCCTTTTTTTCTTTTTCTTCTATTTCTTCTCCTCCTCCTCTTATCATTCATCTCTTTCTACTCCTCCTTTCGCTTTTTCTTCTTTGTCGTTCTTCTTCTTCTTCTTCTTCTTCTTCTTCTTCTTCTTCTTCTTCTTCTTCTTCTTCTACTACTACTTCTCTTTCTCTTAGTTCTTCTGCTCCCTTTCCTCTTATTCTTCTCCTCCTCTTCCCTCTCCTCCTCCTCCTCCTCCTCCTCCTCCTCCTCCTTCTTCTTCTTCTTCTTCTTCTTTGTGCCGTGTCCCTAAGAACATTCCCAGAACATTAGTAAATATATATGCAAATGATACAGCGCTTTATGGTTGCAATCATCTGGATGACCAAAAGGCCACTAGTTGATGTATCCTCTGGCCAAAGTCTTCAATGGTGGAACTACCGCCTACTATCATTCAATACGACCAAAGGTCAGCTAGTACAATTTCATCACTACAAAGCAGACCCTACATTTGCTTCACTCTTAATGAGTTTCGAACGTCTATTGCATTTAAAAATTCCTCCAGACCTCAAATGCAACTCGTATATTCGTGCCATTGCCAAAGATGTTGAAAAAATGACCAGTCCCTTTTATCATTCCTAAAAATACCTAACTCCGGCTGCCAACTCCTATCCACTTCATACCAAGAATGGAATATTGCTGTCGTATCTGGTCTGGTGCTGCCGTGCCCTCACTGTTTTAAATGATGGGGCTCAAAACCGGTTACGTGGCCTTGTGGGCGACTAATTATTCGCCATACTGAATCTGCTTTCCTACAGACGGAACGTTGCTCGCCTCTCACATCGATATTACTATAGCCAATTGTCAAACAAGCTACATTCCTTCATTCCACAAGTTCAGACCTTCACGTTTAAGATCCACCATGCCACGTACATGGCGTCAAATCATCTTTATTCCCTTTGTATTACTTTAAGGAAGTAATACTTAAGGAAGAAGTTCCTCTCAGACAGCTTATTTCCCCGAACTGTCACTGTGTGGAATAGACTCCTAATAAGGTGCTTCCATTACCATTTTAGCTTCTTCAACTTTAAGGTCAACCGATATTTGCATTGCATAGTATGCACTTTTTCCTCTTCCAGTCGCCTTTAGAACAATTACATACAGTAATCATCTAACTTGAGTGACTCTAGGGTCTTTTATTGGGTTAACAATTGTATAAAAAAAGAATAAAACTAAAGCGAAGGAGACAGAAGAAAAAATGAAAACGATTATGAAGGAGAACTGGAATCCGGGACAATGACCTAGTGGTTTAAATCGTTAGTTCGTGAATGTGGTGACGTAGTAGTTGTGGGTTCAATCCCGGGGGCGGGCAGTGGAAAAAAGGCGAGCAATCAATGAGCAGCACTAAAAATAAGAACCAGATGAGACAACGCTGGATATGGTCAGCGGACTGAGAATAATCTATCCGCGGAAATTAAATAAAGGGTTGAGTTCGAAATTCTCGGATGTTTACCCGGACCGAAAAGAAAGAATTCTAGAACGAAGAAATGGGAGAAGGAAGGAAAGGAGGAATGAGAGAAAGAAGAACGAGAGAAGAAAGATGAACGAAAGGAGTGAAATCAATGATAGAGGAGAAAGGGATGGAAGAAAAAGTGGGAAAGAAAGAAAGAAAGCAAAGAATGGGAAAGAAAGGGAAATAAAAGAAAGCTAGAAATAAGGAAGGAAGGAAAGAGAAATGAAGGAGAGAGGAATGAAGAGCTGAATGGAAGAAAGAGGAGGAGCGATTGCGGAAGAGAAAAAGACAAAAGGATAGAAAAGGGGGAGGAAAAAGAGATGGAAATAAAGAAGCAAGGAAATACTTAGGAAAGGAAGAATGAAAAAGAAAGGAGACAATGAAAAATGAGAGAGCGAGAGCATGGAAGAAAGAAAGTGACGAAGAAGTGTCAAGGAAAAACAAATGGAATGAAAGAAAAGAGGAAAGGAAGAAAAGAGAACACTATTAAAGAACGTAGGAATGAAAGGCCGAAGGGAAGGAAGAAAAGGAAAAAAGTTAAGGACGTAGAGAAAATAGCGGAAGTAGAATTAAACGAGAAAGGGAAGAAATAAAGGAGGAAAGGAGAGACAGTTGAGAATTATAGAAAGAATGAATTACACGAAAAAAAGAGCAAAGAAAATTAGGAAGAAATAAACGAATAAAAATTGATTGGATTGAATTTGACAATTTCACATGATGAGCAAAAAAAAATGGCGAATATTTGCACGTTCTTTTTTCTTATATTTCAATTTTCTGACAGACTTTTGCATCTGGTTTCATTTCGTATTATATTTCTGTGTTTTTTTATTTACTTATTTTTCTTTCTTATCGCAAATAATTTCTACAGAATAATGAGTTCGTTCCTCACCCGGTGCTTCATGTCTTTCTTACATTTTTTTTTTCATAATTTAAGAGACTTTTTATCCAGTTTTTCTCTCCACGCTTCTTTCCTACTCAAGTTTCGACAATCTTCTTCTTCTTCTTCTTCTTCTTCTTCTTCTTCTTCTTCTTCAAAGTTTCTTCTTCCTCTTCTACATCTTCTTCTTCTTCTTCTTCCTCAAAGCTTATTCTTCTTCTTCTTCAAAGCATCTTCTTCTTCTTCTTCTTCTTCGAAGCTTCTTCTTCTTCTTCTTTAAAGCTTATTCTTCTTCTTCTTCAAAGCTTCTTCTTCTTCTTCTTCTTCTTCTTCAAAGCTTCTTCTCCTCCTCCTTTTTCTTCTTCTTCTTCTTCAAAGCTTATTCTTCTTCAAAGCTTCTTCTTCTTCTTCTTCAAAGCTTCTTCTCCTCCTCCTCCTTTTTCTTCTTCTTCTTCTTCAAAGCTTCTTCTCCTCCTCCTCCTCCTCCTTTTTCTTCTTCTTCTTCTTCAAAGCTTATTCTTCTTCAAAGCTTCTTCTTCTTCTTCTTCAAGCTTCTTCTCCTCCTCCTCCTTTTCTTCTTCTTCTTCTTCAAAAGCTTCTTCTCCTCCTCCTCCTCCTCCTTTTCTTCTTCTTCTTCTTCTTATAAGCGTCTTCTTCTTCTTCTTCAAAGCTTCTTCTTCTTCAAAGCTTCTTCTCCTCCTCCTCCTCCTCCTCCTTTTTCTTCTTCTTCTTCTTCTTATAAGCGTCTTCTTCTTCTTCTTCAAAGCTTCTTCTTCTTCAAAGCTTCTTCTCCTCCTCCTCCTCCTCCTTTTTCTTCTTCTTCTTCTTCTTATAAGCGTCTTCTTCTTCTTCTTCAAAGCTTCTTCTTCTTCAAAGCTTCTTCTCCTCCTCCTCTTTTTTCTTCTTCTTCTTCTTCAAAGCTTCTTTTCCTTCTCCTCCTCCTCCTCCTTCTTCAAAGCCTCTTCTTCAAAGCTTATTCTATCATTTCCACAACTAAGAATAGAGTTGACTTTCTCTTTCTGTAATAATGTACTTTGCAGAAGAATAAAGTGTTGATGACACTCATTTTAAGATGTTCCCTTTTTTTCTTTTTTTTTCCTTGGTGACTGTTGAAATTTTCATAGAAGTCGAGACGTTGTCTCCCTCTTGTCCACATCTTTCTTCTCCATTTCTCCTCCCCGCTTGCCTCATTGCATCCTCTTCCCGTTTCGTCCCCCTCCCTTATTTTAGATACGTCATATATTCTTTATCGTTCTCTTTCTCTTTTTTTATCAAGATTTTCTTTCTTTTTCCTTCATCTTTTTTTTACATCTCTTTCTATTTTCTTGATCATATTCAATTTTGCTTCATTTTTCTTTCCCATTCTCTCTTTCTCCTTCTTTATTTCCTTCTTTGCTTCTTTTATTTTCTTTTTTTACGTCTTCTTGGTTTTTTTTCTATCTCTTAATTTCGTTGTCTTCCCTTTTTTTACTTGATATTTTTTTTATTTACACATATGCTTTCTTTTCGATCGTTACTTTCTTTCTTTCTCCTTCATCTTTGTCATCTTTCGTCTTTTTAACTGCCGCCCCCGATCCACCTTTGCCATTACTGCTTTCGTCACCAGATTCAACACATTCTTTCTATTAGAGCACAGCTATTATTATTTTGTATGAGTTTCTGTTTTCATTGGGTGCGGTCGGCTGGGTGAGAGTCACTTTCTTTGGTCGATGATGACAAACAGATGAGATGAGACTTTGAAGAGGAGTTTCTGCTTGTGCAACTTGGAAAAAAAAAATGTCTGCACCGGTGTAAATTATTGCAGACGCGACTTATTCTTTCTTTTCATTCTTTTCTCTTTGCTTTTCGCTTCGCTGTTTTATCTCTCGATTTTTTTTTATTATTCCGCCTTTTTTTACTTTTCATCTCAAGTGTTTTTTCTTCTTTCATATCTTTATGAGATTCTCTTTCACTCATCTTTTCTGCCATTCTTGCGCGATTTCAATCATTACTTCTTTCTTTCTTTCTTTCTTTCTTTCTTCTTTTCTTTCTTTCTTTTTAACCTGTTACTATTCTTTCTTTTTCTTTTTTCTTACTTTCACTCTTTCTTTCTTTCTTTTTATTTACTTGCTATCATGCTAACGTGTGTACTTTCACTCTTTTCTTCTTTCCTGTTCATTTACTTTCAGTCATTCTTTCTTGTTACTATTCTTTCTTTTTCTTTCCTTCTTGCTTGCTTACAATCTATCTATCTATCTATCTATCTATCTATCTATCTATCTATCTATCTATCTATCTATCTATCTCGGTTTGGTCATTATCTATCTATCTATCTATCTATCTCGGTCTGATCATTATCTATGTATGTATGTATATATGTATGTATGTATGTATGTATGTATGTATCTATCTATCTATCTATCTATCTATCTATCTATCTTATTTACTTGCTTTTACTCTTTGTTTTTTTCTTTCTTTGTTAATTACTTGCTTCCACACTTTCCTTCTTGCTTGTGTCTCTCCAATTTTCTTTCTGTCTTCTTTCTTTCTTTCTTTCTCGTTTACTTGCTATGATTCTTTCTTTCTCTCGTTCTATCTTTCTATTCTGCTCAATTTCGTATGCACTTAATTTCACTCTTTCTTTCTTTCTTTCTTTCTTTCTTTCTTTTTCACTCGCTTTCGCTTTTTCTTTATTTATTTCTTGCTTGATTGCCTGACTTCCCCCCCCTCTCTCTCTCTCTCTTTCATTCTATTGATATAAAATCCAAGGATTGTCGATTTTGTTGGTTTAAAATGCACAACAAAACACGACCACCAATAATTCAAAATCTTTCCAATGCTTTTAGAATGTTCTTTTTTTCTTTTTTCCTTTAGAATGTCCTTTTTTACTTTTTTCATTATGTGTATTAAAAATTTCAAATGTTTCGTTCCGATTGTATCAGTTTCGTCATAGTTTCTATTTTTCTTAAAACCTCATTCGTCGCTAACATTCTCTGCATTCACAGCATTCGTCAGTGAACTACAACTCTGTCGCTTCAAGTCTCTTCTTCATCTTCACCCTCATATAATTTGTTTTTAAGAACATTTTCCAACCAGTTAAAAATCTGCTTAATTTTTGGGAGACATTTTTCGCTATTTGCCTTTGAATTTGTGTCACATCTTTTAGTGTTATAAAGCTCGTGTAAGCCGGCAGTTTCTGGTTAATAATATACAGTTGGACAAAGGATTAGTGAAGGAAGGATTTAATCACTTGAGGGACATAGATTAAGAATACGATAATAGCGAATACCGTAGTTCAGTGCGGCAATGTGTACGCCTCAACGGTACGCCTTGCGGCCTACATTGCGACTCCTGTTTCTATGATAATTTTCTAAGCTTAGCTGTGGGACTAGGCTGAAATCATGGAGCACGCGGTGAGGATCTAACTCACTATTCAGTCGTAATTGTTCTAGTGAGACAAGCTTGTTAACCATTACAGTAACCTTTGTTCCTATGAACAGACGTCCTACTCATAGTAAATGGACTCGTCTATGTTTAATAATTAGTGTAGAGAAGGTCGGTTGTCTTTCTAGGTAGTGATATTTCTGCATTTACTTGGGGTAAAGAAAGAAAGAAAGAAAGAAAGAAAGAAAGAAAGAAAGAAAGAAAGAAAGGAAAAGAGAAAAAAGAAAGGAAAAAAGGAAGAAAGAAAGAAAGGAAAAGAGAAAAAAAGAAAGAAAGGAAAAGAGAAAGAAAGAAAAGAAAAGAGAAAGAAAAGAAAGAAAGGAATGAAGAAAGAAAGAAAGGAAAAGAGAAAAAAGAAAGAAAGAAAGGAAAAAGGAAGAAAGGAAGAAAGAAAGAAAGGAAAAGAGAAAGAAAGAAAGAAAGAAAATAGCAGAGCGAAAAAATAATTGGAGATTTTAAATTCGGAAAACGGAGAAAAAATAATTTTAAAAAAATAAACTTTATAATTTAAAACCCTTAATTAACTTTTGGGATATCCAGTATTGCTAGAGTTTCTGCAATGAAGAATGGCAGAATCGCTTCACTAATAAAAGCTTGTACCAGACTTGGATGTTTTATCTGTGATTCTCATTACTACTTCTTTTCCTTTGAATACTTTCAGTTATATGCAAGGCTGACATCCCTCTTAAACGTTTCTATTGAGGGCAATTTTACGGTACATGCCTCCCTCCAGGGGAATGATCATTAAGTCGTTTCTCGGAGCTCTGAAATTTATTTTCTAAATACGCTTATGCGAGGTCTGTCTGGAAAGTAGCCAGCCATTTTGAATACCCGAAGAACCAATTGCGCGGCATTTGGTGTAATTTGGCATCTAAACAAAGAAAACATTATTCTCCCGTATCAAATCAGCAGTGCAATGCCGCTGATTTTTTTTTTATCCATCGTTACCGTTTCATTTATAATAATCAAGTGAGTCGAATCTTCATCTATGATTTTCCTATTTTTTCAGATGTGTTATTGTCCCGTCTTGGCTTCCATAAAACCGCTAGACTTTCAGAAAATTACAATCACATTTAAAATACCATAGACGAAGTTAATAAAATTCTAATAAGGCAGCTGATGTAGGTTCTAAAAGTGACGTTTATTTGTTTTAAAAAGGGGAAGGAACAATTTATTTCAGACACCCCCCCACAACGAGTTTCTACTAGTACCAGTATAACCCAGTACTACATGACACTTATCGGCGATTGAACCAATCCCCCACCCCGCTCACAAGGCTTTTCTTGCGAGGAGAGTGTGTAGACATCCAGCACGATTAAATGCAACACCTATGAAAGGGCGGATGAACCTTATCGTAGAGTCAACAGCCATCTAGTACATCGGGGTAGACTGGGTCTCTTTAGCTACGGATGCAGCTAGTGCGGTGATGACACGTCATTTCTGGGGGGGGGGCTTCATACACTAAAGTCAACGACCAGTGGGAGAAAGTTTCTTCCGATGGAACCAACTATCATTTTTCCGTGATCTCGACGTCCAATTTTGAGGACTGGCAGAGGATGGTCTTCACCGGGTCTGGCTACTCAAGTCACGCTACAAATGAATGTAATCTAGCATTCAACCCAGATACTTGGAAGTGACTGATCCGGTGTCCTGCTGAGGAGTGACCTTAAGACCATAGTCGGACATAGGACTGATAATGATGATTAGGATGATGATGGATGGAACTCAAGAGTACGTGCATGGGGTCAAAAAGGAGAGGGTTTTGATTGGGTAAAGACATATTGTTTTATCTAGAGTACAGTTTTGGTAATATTAAATTAGCCACCTCTACGAAAACGCTAAAAATACATACTCCAAAGGTAATGAAAACAATTTTATCGCCAGAATCTTTATGTTATTCTTAAAAGGAAGGATCACAAAGTATCTTTTGAGTATTTATTTTATTATTTTTTCTCCTTTTTAGAACATTCGAAATTTTGACTAAAAATCTTGCGCCAGCGGCTGTACTAAGTTTTAACATAGCAAATTTTAGCCACTTTTTTTGTTTTTCTATGTGTGATATTTGCATAGAATATCAAAGAATGGATGTACAAAACATACATTATCATTAAAAGGTCACGTGTTTTAAGACTTGTCCCACCTTACGGGAAAAGTAAACTCATAGAATCTATCGTCTGCCTCACAAACCTTAACTATGAACATGTTCGGCAGACATTCGGCTGTCAATAAATCGATTAACACTTCAGAAAAAAGAGTCCGCTGTTAAGAAATGTTTCTATCAAACGTTTTATGCTATAATTAAGTAATATTTGTTTTAAATCAGATTAATTTAACTCTAACTTGCTAATTTTCCTCAAATAACGTTTCAGAAATATATATTTTATTTTTGCAAGATTTTTAATTCCGAGAATTAACTTTGGTTACAAGTGTGTCAAAAGCGGCAGTTTTTATCGATTTTATTTAAAATATAAACAAATAAACAAATAAACAAAAACAAAAAAATGACTAATCTGATCAAGAAAATTTCCGTTTGAAATAAACCAGAGTATTTTGCTTACCGGAAATAGTTAATTTGAAATCCTTTAGTTTTTTTTTTTTTTTTTTATTTAAGCTTAAATGAAAGCTTCAAGAAAGTCTTATCATTTTTAAAAATTCATTTTAAACTTTAGGTATACGGAATTAGTGGAGTTACCTATATTAAATGACTTGGTCATGTTCCGATGCACATCATAATTATTTTGACTTTTATAGACATTAATTAATCTAGCGCCAGACCAAATATGAATAGATACATAAATGAATAAATAAGAGTCTGCAAATATAAAACTGGTGCAACTGTTGTCATATCTTCCATGCACTCATTCTATTGCAAGCAATCTGGTAATTATTTTGACATGAGTGAAGGAAAATTGTGATGCGTCATTTTTTAAGTCAAGAATATCAGCATTATATTGAGAACATCATTCGGAATTGATTTATAAATATATAAGATAAAAATTAGCCCAATACAGTGAATCAATTTTATTAGCAGCAAACCCAGCATTGGATTCAATATAATCTTTCTACTTCGTGTCAGCAGAGAATTTTAACCCGAGAAGGTACAACGAATCATTCAACTGGAGGTTAGCATCAGCCATATTGACATCAGGCAGAAAGGGGTCGCTCACATGATTTCTTCTCTTATTTGAGAAGCAGTTTTAACTGCTATTTCTATTTAAAAACAAGATAGCAGCGAATGTTTGTTCGTACTCGCTTTACGTATTACTGTTTTTATATCTTATAACATCTAAAGATAAGGGTTTACCTTAATCCAGAAATGCTTCACAGCATGAGGCACGGGTCTGCCTATCTATATTAATACAACCCTGCGCTCGGTCAAATAGGAAAGAAAAGATTTAAATACGCCGTATGACGTGATTTCGAGACCTGTTTTATTTTAGAGGCATTGAAATTAACAAGCCATTCGTTGCCCCAGTTAACAGCATATTTTAGCTCATGTTTGAGACCAGAAGCCAATTTGACCTTATCGAAGAATTCCGACGATTAAGACAGGAGTAAATAGTTGTGTCATCAACATAGATACCGAGATGAGAGCTGAACTCATATAAAGCTCATTTATTAACAACGTAGGTCCATGGATCGAGCCGTGGGTGGGGCACCTGCATTAATACAAAACCATTCAGAAGATCGATCGTTCTGTGTGTAAAACATGCCAAATTTTGTAAATAGAGACGTCTATACATAACATTATCAAGAAACAACTGTTATGGTAATTTACCCACGCACAAATAGACTCTCCCAGCTATAAATAGGAGCAGGTACTGCCTTTTTAGAGAGAAAAGTTTCCAGCAGTAAGCTCTGAGAGTCGGACCGAACATTTATGCTGTAACTCTCTCGTTTGTATCACCGTTTGTTTAATTCAATTCCTCTCTTTGTGTCTTTATTTCTGGCCCCTAACAAGACCACATCATTGACTATAGTAGAATTAAAGCCAGTTTTGTTTTAGATGTCTTAAAATTAAGAAGCCATCCTTTACCCCAGTTAACAACAGAATGTAAGTCATTTTTGACATCAGCCGCCAATTTGACCTTATTGAACTGATCAGACTTACTATCAAGACAGGAGTAAAT